CACACCTTCTCACCTGTGCAGGATACACCTTCTCACCTGTGACGTCACCTGTTCTGGACATACATTCTCACCTGTGCAGGCCACACCTGTGCCGACCTCACCCCTGCTGGGACCTCACCTGTGCCCAGGTGTGCACTCCCAACATGAGGCTCCTTTACCTGCAGAGCCACCTGGGGCTGCTCCTCTACCTGTCCCTGAGCGGTGAGTGGGGGGGGACACAGCTGGGGGGGGACAGGTGAGGTGGGGACACACCTGGACATTGGGAGACACTTGGACTTTGGGGTCACACCTGTTCCTGGGGTCACACCTGTCCCTGAGGTCACACCTGGACTTCAGGGTCACACCTGAGACACACCTGATCCCCTCTACACCTATCCTGACTCTCCTCTTGTTCTCTCCCTGCCCATCCAGGTCCCGCCCTGGCCCCACCCTCACCTGTCCCGCTGCGCCTGGCGGGCGGCCCCGGGCGCTGTGCGGGACGTGTGGAGGTGCTTTACCTGCACAGGTGGGGGACGCTCTGTGGCCACACCTGGGGCCTGGCCGAGGCTCAGGTGGTCTGTCGCCAGGTGGGCTGTGGCCCCGCCCTGTCGGCACCAGGCGGGGCCCACTTCGGGCAGGGGGAGGGGCCAGTGTGGCTGGACCGGGTCACCTGCACAGGCACTGAGGGCCACCTGGGTGAGTGCCAGGTGGGGCCCTGGGGAGAGGCCAGCTGTGAGCACGGCGCTGACGTGGGCGTGGTGTGTGCAGGTGAGGCAGGTGGGGCTTGGGGAGGGGCGGGTAGGGGGCTCAGGGAGGTGGGGAAAGGGAGGTTTACCTGTTTGGACCTACCTGTGACCACACCTGAGCCCAGAACCCTCCCAGACTCACCTGTTGACCCCAGAACCCTCCCAGTCACCTGCTGACCCTGAGACCCCCCAATACTCACCTGGTTTGATCCCAAACCCTCCCAGACTCACCTGTTGACCCCCAAACCCTCCCAATACTCACCTGTTGACCCCAGCACAGCCCCAGACTCACCTGTTGACCCCAAAACCATCTCACAGTCATCTGTCGGCCCCGGGACCCTCCCAGACTCACCTGTTGGCCCCAGAACACCTTTCTCCACCCCATCACCAACCTAAACCCACCCAGACCCACACCTTAGGACCCCCAGACGCACCTGGGAACACCCAGACACACCTACGCTCCCCCCAGACCCTCCCAGAGCCTCCCGTCAACCCCCAAACCCCTCCCAATGCTCACCTGTTGGCCCCAGAACCCCTTTTCCCGCCTGAAGCCACACCCCAGCCACATCTGGAGCCCCGCCCAGGTGCGCCACACCTGTCCTGCCCCGCAGGTGCGGAGGCGGCGTCGCAGCTCCAGGTGCGCCTGGCCAACGGCTCCAGCGCCTGCGCGGGGCGGGTGGAGCTGTTCCGCGAGCACAAGTGGGGAACTGTCTGCGACGACACCTGGGACCTGCAGGACGCGCAGGTGATCTGCCGCCAGCTGGGCTGCGGCCACGCCCTTGCCGCGCCCGGCCACGCCCACTTCGGCCGGGGGGCGGATCCCATCTGGCTGGACGGCGCCCACTGCACAGGTAGGGAGCAGGAGCTGGCGCAGTGCCAGCTGCACACCTGGGGCGAGCACGACTGCAACCA